TCGTTCAAACAAAACATATATAATTTTTATCACATTACGATGACAGCAACCCATATTGTTCAAAGAATATCACATTTGTTCACAATCAGGCACGCGATAATGCGCTCCCATTTCAATTTCAATTTAATTATTTGATTATTTTACAAAAACCTTAAATAGAAAAAGCAACACGCTATCGTTCAATTTAAATAATATTTTTTTTTTTTTTTATCAAGCCTCTTAAAATACAAACACGTACAAAACTACTTAACACTAGTATAATAATATACATGGCTTTTTTATGAGGTATACAATAACAATATTCCCTGACTTTTATGCTAGGAAAAACCTGTTTTACAAAAGTCAGTCAAATACATGATCATCGACAATCGGGTAAAATCACACTTACCTTGAATTACGATATGACTTGTTCCTAGATCCTGCTGCTATGCCAGTCCACCGCCTCTAACAAATTAAGCTAAAGTTCAGAAGATGAATTTTGCTTTTGTAAACGAAATTGAATGTTGCGAAGTACTTGACAAAAATAATATAATAATTACCTTTTTTATAAATCATGCCAATGGTACCATTGAAAATATAAACAGGTCTTTAGCGCGATTTTCACATTGAATGAGTTCTCTCTCTCTCTCCGAGTCTCTCTGCAAACTCAAACTCTGAGTATCTTTACGTCCAATGACAGTGTTTATAACGTAGATAAATGTAAATGTTTAAAACAGTTCAGTACTCCATTTATAAATTATTAATAACTAGCGACCCGCCCTCGCTTCGCTTCGGAAACTGTAATTTATTATTGATTCCTCCACTATTTAATGGATGTTATTATACATATAAATCTTACTCTTCAATCACTCTATCTATTAAAAAAAACCGCATCAAAATCCGTTGCGTTGTTTTAAAGATTTAAGCATACATAGAGACAGACGGATATAGGGACAGAGAAAGCGACTTTGTTTTATACTATATAGTGATACTACAAGAAATTTTCCGAGTTACAGCTTAATATCGTGTTGGCAAAAACCCTTATTATTAGTTCCGTTATTTCGAATACCTCGTCTTTGGAGTCACGAAATGACTAATCGAATTAGAATTTTGATCACCAAAAAGAAAGGATGCGGCCGTGGCCTCGAAATGTTTGTCGAACCAAAACATTAACCTCTTAGCAAAGTCCACATAATAAAGAATGATCTTCGTCTAACCTATTTACTATGTATTTAAATAGGATATTTCCATACGAACATCTAAGGACGTATGTTATTTGGTTTCAGTGAAATCATGTCCCTCATTTTTTTATGTATTCCATTTCTACATATTTCATAATTATATTTTATACATCGGTACCATAGTCAAAGCGAAGTGAGATTGAGTTTCTATGATCCTACCGAGACTGTAAAGTCAAAACATGATTGTTTCCGCAACCGTTATTTATAATGTAAATTGTTTAGATATCAATAAATAAAACCTTGTATACGATACATACAAATAAACCTTGTATAGTGTGCATTATGTTTCTATCTATATTGATATGAGTATGCACAGGCCTATGTTATTACTGCATTCTTATCAGAATCTACATACACATGTTCTCCTAAATATCAGTATTAAAATTCATAAATTCAAATTTGGTTGTAGGACCACTTATGAGTCCGCGCGGATAGGTACCACCGCCCTGCTTATTTCTGCCGTGAAGCAGTAATGCGTTTCGGTTTGAAGGGTGGGGCAGCCGTTGTAACTATACTGAGACTTTAGAACTTGTATCTCAAGGTGGGTGGCGCGTCTACGTTGTAGATGTCTATGGGCTCCAGTAACCACTTAACACCAGGTGGGCTGTGAGCTCGTCCACCCATCTAAGCAATAATAAAAAAAAAAAAACAGAATGCCATGCGAAATTCGCCGTACTATATCGCTAAGTAGTTCTTTGAACTCATTTTCGCTTTCAATCGCTTAGTTGTAAGCAGACGGCGAATGTTGCACGTAAAAAAACTTTACTTAAGACATAAATGTTCTTCTTATTTTACCTTCTCGGCAAACTGGAGAATATTCTTAAACGTAAATAGGAAATTCATGCAATATCCCATTTATAACTGTACTTGTGTGTATAGCTATTTTTGTAGAGTAAGCTATTTAAGTAATTAAAACTAGTATTACGGTTTAAGTTCGTATTTTTTATTGTCATTATGTTATTTTAGATGTTTTAAATATATTTAATCGTCACGGAAGACTAATATGTTACTTATTTTCCCTACCTATTTGCTGGGACTATTCCGGCTTGGACGGGTAGGTGAGCTTACCTCACGGGCTCAACCTGAGAGAATTTACTAACACTAATCCTAGCGTCCTAGCAAGAACGGTGTTTCACAGAATCTACTACCGGTTCGGAATCACGACTCACTATGAATATCTGACGACAAACTTAGTGGAACTAAGGTGTTATTCGTCGAAATTGGAATATTATGATATATAATGCAAATGGCTGACTCTACGCACTGTAGAAAATGTTCTATGATAGATAAATAAAATAAATAAATTGGAACAATGATGCTAATGCTAAAAATGTTACCAGGGTTTTAAAATTGTTACCATTTAACGGTAGTGTCTATAAAACTGTGGCTCGCCTTACAGACAATATAAGTAAACTACCGACCCGCCCTCGCTTCGCTTCGGAAACGGTAATTTATTATTGATTTCTCCACTATTTAATGGGTGTTATTATACATATAAACCTTCCTTTTCAATCATTCTATCTGTTAAAAAAACCGCATCAAAATCCGTTGCGTAGTTTTAAAGATTTAAGCATGCATATGGACAGATATAGGGACAGAGAAAGCGACTTTGTTTTATACTATGTAGTGATTTATACTTTAAATATTATTATTGTTTGTGAAACTGTAAAGCATATGAAAAATCGTAAATAATGAAAGCAATGTTAAACCGTAAAAGTAATTTTAATTATATTATTATGTACGAGACACGAAATCCCAAAAAAAAAGAAGTTTTCTGTAACTTTACTGATCTGGTTTGAACGTATACACCAGAAACGGTATCGTTCTATGCGCACGAATTTTATTTTACTCATTAACTATATTATTATATCAGCCATTATTCCAAAGCAATTGAAAATGAATTAATTAATTTAAAAACGAATTATTTGACAATCACAGCTAGCACACGGCGGTTTTTCAAGTGAAGTTCTGGTATTAAACATCTTCGAATTATCAATAATCAAATTGACTTGTTTTCTCGTCTCTAATATTGAAAGAGCGATGGAATATGATTTAATGCGAATATAGTATCTATAGGTCAAGAATACTACTATTGCCGACGGAATATTATTTATAATTAATTTTATAATTAATTTTGTCCTACAATGGTTCCCACTCATCAAATCCGTACGCTAGAAATCGCGGCAGAAATAGGCGGAGCGATATCTTTACGTACGGGTTTATTTTACGCCACATATATGTATGTACCATACTAATTCGAATTTCGAAGTCGTCGTGGTCTAACGGATAAGACGTCCGGTGCATTCGCGTTGAGCGCGATGCTCCGGTGTTCGAATCTCAGGCGGGTACCAATTTTTCTAATGAAATACGTACTAAACAAATGTTCACGATTGACTTCCACGGTGAAGGAATAACATCGTGTAATAAAAATGAAACCCGCAAAATTATAATTTGCGTAATTAATGGTGGTAGGACCTCTTGTGAGTCCGCGCGGGTGGGTACCACCACCCTGCCTGTTTCTGCCGTGAAGCAGTAATGCGTTTCGGTTTGAAGGGTATGGCAGCCGTTGTAACTAAACTTGAGACCTTAGAACTCATATCTCAAGGTGGCGCATTTACGTTGTGGATGTATATGGGCTCCAGTAACCACTTAACATCAGGTGGGCTGTGAGCTCGACCACGCATCTAAGAAAAAGAAACTAATAATAATAATAATAAACGCTTACATAAGCTTTACGTGTTTTATTGTTTCCATACGAATTTATATTCCCTTAAACAAAAAAGAAACTGCCTGCCAGATTTGAACCGTGGTCACGTCGCTCGATATTAGTACCGTTAATGTGCGCTTACTTATTCTTTAGGCCACGAATATTGTAAACAAAATATCCGTACCTAATTTTGAATACAGAATTCACTTTTGGAGTTAAGTTCTAGATATTTTTGTGTGATACCTCTCAATTTTAAGTTCGATTTTCATACACAATTCGTAGGGTTAAATTTTTGTGGGCATTATTTTAAGGTATCAAACGAAAGCCGATAAAAAATTTATTTATGATTATATGATTATATTACGACTAGCGACCCGCCCTCGCTTCGCTTCGGAAACATTAAAACACACATGAAACCAAAAAAATAAAATATTTTTTTTTTTTTAAAAAGTAGCCTATGTTCATCAGGGACAATGTCGGCTTCTAATGGAAAAAGAATTTTTCAAATCGGTCCAGTAGTTTCGGAGCCTATTCGAAACAAACAAACAAACAAATCTTTCCTCTTTATAATATTAGTATAGATATAGATTTATTGAAAATTGATTTGAATTATTTTTTCAACGTTTTAGTTTTATTTGCATCATTTAACGGTAAGCGTGTTTGTTATATTGGAATAAAAATATACAAAATGACAACTTTTGATGCTTATGTACCTATTATTTATTACATTTATAACTTATTGAAAATTATTTCGATGGTGACCATTTCAAATTAATTTATCTGTGTGACTCGTGGGATTAAATACAAACTCGTCAAATAAATTTATAAAATATTATTTATTTTTATTAAAAATCCCCTTATAAACATTACGGGCATTAACATAATCCAGATTACGATTAATAATAATGTAACTACACACTGCACTTATATGTTAAGTTTATTGATTATATTGGAAATTCGCATATAAAAAAAAATCTTAAAAAAATAAATGCATTATTTACATTTTTCTAAATAAATCTTAAAAAGCTTAGTGAATTATATTTATACATATTTTTTTTTTTTTTTTACGACCAAATTTGGTGCGTGTTTTTTTTTCAAAACAGAACAGTCGAAAAAATGTCTTAATTTATTTTAACAAAAATCTAACGAACTACTATTTATTTACACTCACAATTCGAGAAGTAATGTGTACAATTTTATTAATAGTACTAGAAATATTTCGTTGCTTGGAAAATTATTAATAAAAAATTGCGTAAAATGTTTACGAGATAACCAATTTATATTTGGCGTATGCTTAAGCTGGTTCACTTAATTCACCTAAACGAAGAACGAAGCCTTAACACTATTTTATTTGGAATTTAACGCAAAACTGAGATCCGTGAACAAAATTATTAAAAACCTATTCGATCGTTTATTCGTAATAAATTAAACTAAAATGATAGTCAGAACTAAAATTCAAAAACACAAATAAAGAGATCAAACGAAAGTTCTAAGCTCAAACTTAACAAAGCCATGAAAAAACGAAAAAGTTTTATTTATATCATCAAAGACTTATAGCGATTTGTAACATTGAAAATCACTGGTTATTATACATTATTATGTTTATACAACGGAAAAAATTGAGAGAATCTGACATTGATCCGAGCGAGGCTAATTTTTGTACGCGACGATACGAAATTAAACTAAGCTTTTACATATTTCGGTACAGAGGCGTTTTGTCGAACTTCACTCAAACTTGGAAGGAAAAATAAAAGCAAAATTCATCTTATAAAAAAGTAATTTTTATGCGTAAACGGAATAAAACGAGATGATTAATTATCATGTCGTTCTAACCGTGCCCTAACCACCATTGCAATTTAAGTGCAGTCGGACACAACATCTCTTCACAATGAAACAAATCAAGAGCACATAATGATGGACTTAAAATTACGTAACAACAGTCTCCATCTGCTATGCAGCATCACTGTCAACAATACTTATCTATATCTTCATTTTATCTGATGGTGTTGAAGAGTGATGACGCGAGCGACACTTTAATGATGGCCACAACCATAACTAAGTTGACAATGTAGGTCGAATTGCATCTTAAGTGGTAAGGTGGTGGGCTAGGCGCACGAGGGCACTCACCTCGACGATTCTCCTGGACCTCGCCAGGCTGTCGTGAGACCAGGATGTGGCACAGAACCTCGTACAGCTCGGCCAGCAGCCGGTTCAGACGTGAAAAGTTCTCGTCCGCAGCCTCGCGTTCGCTTGGCAAGTTGAACGCTATAGCCATCTTTGTCTTTTTCTACGGAAACGTGGGCTGATTGCGGTTGATTTTGTATGCATAAATACTGTGTGGCCTTTGTGTATTTAGCTCCTCCCGCCTCAATACTCTATTGTCTCGCTAATGTATGAAAATCAGAACAAACTTTTTTTCAAGAACAAATATTTCTATGTTGTGAAAAAGTTGCTTCGTTCCATGAAATTTTCACATCAAATAGTTCACGGCACTACGGATGGCACAGCGAGTCTCGAAAATTCGCACTTAAATTCGGCTAAAGAGATCACTTAAGTCGGTCCGAATAAAAATTACTAAAAAAGTTTCACATAAAAAGTTCTCTTCCGAAAACAACGTACGATTATTGTCTGTGAATCACTCGCAATTTAGCCGAGGGCCGCGCACGGTCGATGACACAATCGCGCTAACTAAAGCACTTATACATCGTTGTTCGAGCGCGATGTAAACAAACTGGCACTTCGCACCGCGCCCGGTAACGACGGCCAAGTGACGACTGTTGCACGTGCGTTCAGCGCGGAAGCGAATCGTGTAATAAGGGATAATACTTCGTGCACATCATTGCCCGGCTCGGCCCCTCTCCGTGTGCTGGTGCGGTGCATAACGTAAACACACGCGCACACAAACGCGACCCATTTGATTATAAATAGTGGACCCACGGTAGCACGTACCCTTCGCACTCTGCCACTACAATCAACGTTGACACCGTTTCACCTGTCCCCCTTTAACGACAAACCGGGCCATCTGTCTGTCTCGCTTTATTTGTGTTACATCACGTTACAACAGCGACCGACAAAGTGGTGTTCTCTCGTTCGCTATTCTTTATACGTTCCCTTTGCGGAAGGGAAAGAGGTTGTGGTGTTTATTTCGAATTTGGAGTGCGGAAAGCGCGCCAAAGTGAATGAGCCGATTCGATTGGTCGGTCGGTGTGGGGTGAGATGACGTAACGAAGGAGGATTCGGGTCGCCGGGGTTGTTAAACGGAAAGCGTTCACTCGGACGCGGACCTGATAGAGTTGCACAGCCACGTCGCGCGATCTCCGTATTATTTAACGACTCTTTGTTAAGGCAGACGATTGTAGACGTTTTTAATGCGAGCTAGGATCGTTTTGAGCGGTGAAGTGACTAAGTCGAGTGTGATTCGTAGTAATTCGGTAATGCAACGGTCGGTTATAATAGTTTACGTGCGCGGCTCTACCACAAGCGTTAGGTTAATGTGCCAGCCGATGTTACGGGTTTTATTAGCTGTAGATTAGAGTGCAAACCTTTGTTTCAATTGACCGAAATCGAGCAATAAAATTTGTTTTTTAAGTGTTTTTTTTACGTAACTAAACGTAAAAGCTTTGGTTTCATTTCCGTGCGTTTCGTGTGTTTGATTGTATTAGAATTTGTTTTGTTTGAACTATAACAATTCTTAGTAGATAATTAATGTTCGCGGTAATTAAAGTGGACGCTAAAACAATTTAGAATTGAATATTCATTATTGTGTACAAAAGTAACTAAGATTTGATTACAAAAAAACCAAACCAACATTTATCAACAAGCACAAAAGTCATTATGTTTAATTAGCGAAACACTTTTAATATATTAATAAAACTAAGAATTAAATAGTCATTTAAATATGAACTATTCAGAAAAAAAATCATTTGTGAAAATAATAATCTTATTAAAACTCTAAAGATAAGTGCGGCTTCATTCTAAAATTAAAATAAACAAAATCATAAGTCCGCGACCACGAAAACTGTGAAGTATGCGAAAAGTCTCAATAATATAATGATGATAATAAACGCGAGATAAATCCGTGAAAGTAGTTTTAGCTATGTCTACGACTCGGGAAAATTAAAGAAAATACTAAAATAAAAAACCAAAAAATGTTTAACGTTATAAAAAAATTTGAAAATCACGAAATAATTCTATATCTAGAAACAAATGACCGCCAATATTTTTTTATATTCATGATTCTATTGATGTTTTTTAGCTTGACGCCTTCACGACAAAAGGATAAGTATCATCACACTGCACACATTCAGATTACACAATTAAAATTTAATGCAAAACAAAGATCACATCACATTTAATGATGATTTCATACAACGATTTCAGATGAAAAATGGAATTACATCTTAACTAGTACAATACAAAGCAGATATTTTATGAATTCTCGTCTCGATTTAAAATCAGGTAGGCCAAGAAATTACTTTTAAAATAATAACTTTAAAATAATAAACACTCATAAAAATACACAGTATAGTTAATCATAGTCAGCATGAAGATATTTTTTTTTTGTAATTCCATTTTCTTACATAAAGCATTGAGAACTCATAACCATACTGACCTTCTAGTAAAGGTGAAATCCTAACGCACTAAATCCATTGCACCACTGGCTTCGACAGAAACCTAAACTAAACTAAAAGATTGACGAAAAATCATCCAAACCACGAAATTAGTCACAAGCTAAAACTCCAAGGACCAAATGACTCACTTTAATTACAAAAATATCTCGCATCTTTGAAAATTGGTGGTTTGCGAAATCGAATATGATATTACAGTGTGTTTAGTGGTTACTCACACATTTTTAAACCATTTAATTTCATTATTACTGTTTCTCACATTACACTCAGGAGTCAAGACGAATATTGGTGTTTTATTCTCAACATATTTATAAGACATAGGAGTATTATTGAAATAAAAACTGCTTTGTCACAAAACAAATATTTATTGTCAAAAAAAGGCAGTAGGTGAGTGATAAAGCTGCATGTACTATCATCACAGATGCAGGTATCAGCATCTTGCCCATTTCTGTACGTTACTAAGCCCGCGTTGCTGTTAAATGACAGCCTTTTTCATCAAGAATTATGAGAGAGAAATCTATAGTAGTGTTACGATTTTTTTCGATAATTACTTAATTTATTTGTGGTTGAGACGGACAAATTTGCTTTTAAGTGATTACCGCTTCCTATGGACACAACAACATAAAAACTAGCTCTTCCTAGGGTGAGTGTTAGTATACTCTTTTAGGCTGAGCCCCCGTGAGCTCGCCTACCAGAATGGCGAAGCTGATATATCCCCTCAAGACTACGAGCGATCCTTCTTCTTCTTCTTCTTTTTCGTCGCTTCCTCATTACTGAGGGTCGTGACCACCTTGGTCCAGTTTTTGCACCAGCTTCCTCCAATGTTGCCTGCATTCGGCCTGCTTAATGGCGCCCGGGACGCTGGTGTTTGTGGCCTCCTTGACAATGTCCGTCCACCTGGTTTATTAGCGATTAGATAGGGAGAAATAAAGTAAAAACAAATTTGAGCGACAAAGGATAAGTCTCAATTTTAAATAACAGTTGAACTTCAATTAGGTCGAAACGACTGCTTTACCACAAAAATGGACAGGTTGGCGGGTTTTCCCTGTGCTCACAATACGCCATATCACCGGCACCTTTTGTCGTACCTCAGGTACAGTTGTTATCTATTGAAAAAAATATCGCATAGACAGAGATTGAAGCAGCAATGTAAGTGTTCCTAAATATGATTCGTAAAGTGAAAGTCCGCATGGCTTATCACAGTTGCAGGTAAAGTAATCGACAAGACAAGTTTGAACACGATATATAATTTACGGTAAAATAACGCAAATTGTTTGTTTGTGTTTACCGATATTCGATCGAGTTCTCATTGTAGGGCCAAAATATACCATACTTTATTGTGAAGCAACCATTGATTTTTTTTCCTACCTAGTCTAGTAACCTCGAGGGGCTATTCTACATTCTCCGAGCTAGTAGGTAAGCTCACGGTGCTCAAACCGGGAGTGTTGCTAACACTGGCCTTAGCAAGATCTTCGCAGAATCTACCACCGGATTGGAAGCGCGATCCACTGAGAAGATCCGGTGAGAAACTCAGTGGGCTGTGTCTGTGTCAAAATTTAAAAAAAGTCAAATTTGAATAAAAAATATCTTTTATTGCCGTACACAAATCGGTGTCCATACGGTTTGGATGACGTATCGTAAGAGGATACTCAAGTCCTGATTAACTTAAATGTTTTTTTTATTGCTTAGATGGGTGGACGAGCTCACAGCCCACCTGGTGTTAAGTGGTTACTGAAGCCAATAGACATCTACAAATACGCCATCCAACTTGAGATATAAGTTTTAAGGTCTCAGACCTCAGTATAGTTACAACGGCTGCCCCACCTTTCAAACCGAAACGCATTACTGCTTCACTTCAGAAATAGGTAGGGTGGTGGTTCCTACCCGTGCGGACTCTCAAGAGGCCCTACCACCAGTAATAGGCTCATCTGAAGTCAATCACATTTAAATGAAATGGGAATAGACACAATATATTTTCATTAAAGTTCTTTTATTACCAAAAAACGATAATAGATGTCGCTACAGACTCTAAGCTACACTACTATAGGATATTGGTCCGGTTTTGACGATGGTAAAGCTTACATAATTTATTTGTTTTGAAGTAATAAAATATAATAATATGGCAACATTCCAGAATGATCATTTGTACTAAGGTAATATAGACTACCTATATGGTCAAATTCCAGAAATAACAAATATTTGAAATCTGGTAATAACGTCACCGTACAACGTAACAATATCTGAATGACTGTGGGTTTTTCGATTAATACCTAAGCATTTTTTTATGCCTTTACCGCAATTTATTTTGAGACTAAATCTGTATTACTACGTACTAAAATTGTGTTTTTTTTATTATTATACACAATTAAGAAATTAATATTTATTGGTGACTAGCTGACTCGGCAGACTTCGTAGTGCCTCAATTGATTAACAGAAGACCTAAACTTTTCTATAAAATAAACTTACAACAAACAAAAGGAATCCGTCCAATGGGGGACACATCAAAGGAAAAACATTTATTTTTATTTTTATTTAACTCCGAGCATTTTCATATTTATCTAACCTTTTAAACCTTCTCTGGACTCCCACAAATAATTCAAGACCAAAATTAGGCAAATCGATCTAGCCGTTCTCGAGTTTTAGCGAGACTAACGAACAGCAATTCATTTTTATAATTACATATAGATAAATGGTAAAATTTCGCGGCAACTAGTAGAACACGTTCCAATTCAAAGATACAATAAATGTAACAATTGACAAACACCTCTAATTCATGTTTTGAACTGGTATTAAATATATGGCATGCCGCGGTGTTAAAGGACTTTGGTAATGGTGGACTCTGCCCATCTAGAACAGGAGTATTTTTTTTTATTGTCCGAGTAGGCAGACGAGCATACAGCCCACCTGAAGGTAAGTGGTTACTGTCGCTCGTGGACGTCAGCAATGCCAGGGGCAGGGCCAAGCCGCTGCCTACCGCTAAATAAATAGAACATCACTTACCATAGACAGAGCTAAAAAAACAGGCGATCTAACTTACTTAGCGCTAAAATTACGAATCGTGTCCTCCTAAAATTAAGGTCTAAGACGATTGCCTCCCTTGATTTCTTAAATTTAATCCACCAAGACCAATTCTTCACAGCTCCGTTCCGGGGGCATTAAGGACGATACGTGACAGCTACTGTGTGATTTCACGGGTTGGAATCCAGTTCTGATGGCCCTTTGTTGAACTGAAGCTTGTACAAACTATGAAATCGTTTTAAAACGTTTTTATTTTATTGCATCGATTGATGATCGAGGTC